TCCACAAGCAGTGCACACTGTATCCATTTCCTGGTACCTCGCTCTGTATGTTCTGGTTCGCAGAACACCCGTCCTTCCCTCAAACAACAATGAGCTTCCCCTAGAATTGTCATGAATGCTTTCTTTGGCAATAGCTGTTTTGTTTAATCTATAGCTTTCCAGAGCCGTCTTTGTCTGCATTCCCTCTAGCCACCGATCTCTTTCTGTGGCCTTAACTTTCTTCTTAACTGAGACTTGCTCTTCCGTATCTTCGCTATAGCCCAAGAACTTTTCTCTTAATTTCCTAGTGCGCTGTCTCCACTTTGTGTCTGCACTCCTCATGTATAAATAGCTGAAAACCTTTCGTGCCCATTGCTCCCCATCCATTTGCCTCAACCTATCCTCAAATTTTATCTTACTCACCGCTTCCCTGCTTTCAAATGACGCCCATCCCATGTCTCCTTGTACTCCATGGTTTGGCGTTTTGCAATGTGCCCCCAAAGCCAGTCTACCTACTCCGCGCTGTTTTATTTCTAGCCTCGCATGCACTTCGGATTTCATGCATAGCACTGCGTTTCCAAAAGTCAAGCCAGGCACCATGACCCCTTTCCAAATCTCTCTCACCACCTCATACCTGTTGTAATTCCAAAGTGCTCTATTTTTCATTACAGCCGCATTTTTGTTGCCCTTACCTACTATATACTTTTCATGCTCACTGAGATATTCTCCACCATCACATATCCATTCTCCTAGATACTTGTATTTACTAGCTCTCTCAAATGTAATATTCTGTATCTTCAGCCTCTCAACTTCATCCTCGTTAAAAATCGTGATTGCTGATTTTTCGCTACTGAATTCTAAACCTAATTCCTCTCCTTCCCTACCACAGATGCTCATTAACTCCTGCAACTCTGTCCTGTTGTTAGCCATTAGTAAGATATCATCCGCATACATCCATCCCGGTAAGGATTGCTGAATTTTTTGGCCTAGCTTACTGTAAGAAAGGTTGAATCCAAGCCCACTCTTTTCTAGTCTATCCTCGAATCCTCTCAGATACCACATAAACAGCAAAGGCGATAACGGGCACCCCTGCATAAGGCCTCGTCTTATCTCTATTTCCCCTGTCGCATTTCCTTCCCATGTTATAATCACCTTGTTATCTTTGTAAATGTGCCTTAATAGTGCTGTTAGTTCTTCATCTAGGTTTAAGCTCTCCATTATAATTTATGTCCCATAGGTTCCTTTGGCTCACATTGTCATAGGCACCCTTGATATCCAGAAATGCCAGCCAGAGCTGTCTGTTTTCTTTTTGCGCTATTTTTATACACTGTGTTAGAAAAAATAAATTGTCCTCCAACCTTCTTTGTTTCCAAAACCCGTTCTGTAACTCGCCCAGTATGCCCTCGCAATCTACCCATTCCTCCAGTCTGTTCTTTATAATCTGCATTACCAACCTGTAAATAACCGGTGTCACGGTTATGGGACGATGATTCCTAATATCAGACTTCTCTCCCTTTTCCTTATATATCATACTCATCCTACTAAGCCTCCATTCATCTGGAATATTTCCTTTTGTTATCATGGTACCCACTACCTCCCTTAGTTTTGCCTTAGATTTAGGACCCAAATTCTTCACCAGCTTGATTGGGATACCATCTGTGCCTGCCGACGTGCCACTAGGGACTCTTCGTTCCGCCTTTTCCCACTCTTTGTCCAAAATCCGCGATGTCACAAACTGGACTGCTACTTCCTTCGGTTCTCCTATTTTCCACATGTACCCATTCCTGAAATTTCTCCTCCATCACTGCTCCTATATATTGTGTCGCATCATCTCCCTCTAATTGATCTCCCTGATGCGAGAGTATAATCCTCTGTCTAGCTTGCGTCGTTTCACCGAGTGAGTTCAAGTGCTCCCAAAACTTTTTGGCAGCGTTTCTATCTTTCTTACTTACATTACTCATCCATTCCTCACCCTTTCTCTGAATTTTCGCATTGATCAAGCTGGATGCCTCTCGGCGACATGTTATAAAATTGTCCCATTTTCTTTTTACTTCCGTTTCGGACTCCCCACCACGCTTGGAATACCTGTGTTCTCTAGAGGCTTCCTGACGTTTTTGTATCGCTTGCTTCACTTCTTTGTCCCACCAGCTTTTTGGTCTATGTCCTCGCTTCCCCTTTCGTTTACTCTGAACTTTGTCTAGTTCCAGAGCAAAAAGCCTAGTTAGGCTCTCATAGGTCCAATCTGTATACCGTTGCCCTGAAACTGCTGCCTCTATTCTTTCAACAACTATTTCCAACTCTTTGTCGCTGCAGAAAGTTTGCTTTGAATTATGTTGTCTAGTTTCAGCATTTACTTCTCTGGCAAAATTCAGCTTAATACGTTTCTGATCACTACCAAGACTTTTGGAACCTTCTTCATCTATTTTCATTACTTGTAACTTACCATATATTTTGTGTGACATGAGTACGTAATCTATAGTTGAATGTAGATTGCCAGTTTCCCTAGGTATGTGCCCGTCACACTTCTGACTGGTACTACATAAAACTAAGTCATGTTTTTCCACCAGTTCTAGTAATATGCTTCCAGTTGAGTCCGTATACCCATCCAGACCCTCAATATGGGCATTCATGTCTCCCATAATAATTATTTCGGAGCCTTCCCCTAGTTCACTAATGTCTCTTGATATGCAATCAATCGTTTTTCTGTTTTCCTCTATAGCACCTGTCCCTGTCCATTAGTAAACAACTCCAAGGACTGTTGATTCCCCAGCGACTTTTCCTTTCAGCCACAAATGTTCGGCGCACTCCTTTCAGACCCTTTGAAAGTTCATATTCTTCTTAATAAATGCTCCAATTCCACCTCCCTTCATCGTTCCCTCCATTCCGTTGCATTCTTCCCACACATAGTCAAGGTTGCAAGGTAGCTGCTCCATGTCTCTGAGATGTGTTTCCACAAACCCATACACCATTAAATCATATATGAAATGTAGAGCGCCATCTATTAGCGAGCCGAGAACTATACGTCCTCCATTTTGGTAGCGGCGAGAAAACGAAACCAGTGACCCGACCGGCAAAGACCCCATGCAAACAAGCGACCGCGCTTCGTGCGAGAGATGCGATGCCAACGCGTTTCTGCGTTCCCGGCTACGCATGCAGCATTAAACCTTCGATTCGTGCGTCACGTGAACGCAAAGGTAAACAGGGTTCACTATTTTTTCTTATTTTTATTTGTTACCCGAGACGCAGCTCTTGACAAGAACAATCGATGACGACGCGAAGAAACATACCACTTACATTTATTGCACTGGGCCACAATCTTTTCACAAAGTTGCACCAAATTTGTTTCTAACTTTTTTTTTTTTCTTTTATGCACGTTGTATTTTCGGCCTGCGTTTTTCTTGATGCGCAACCAGCTCAATGTATGCGGACGACACCAAGGCAGTTAGGCGAGGCAAAAAGATGATAGTTTTAAAATATGGTTAACAATGAACAACAAAACCTGAAAGCACCACAAAGCCCTCATTTTAATGTCATATATTTAAATAAAAAATTACTTTGGAAAGCCAAAAGACAAATATGTAAAACACCTTTAAAACAAAACAGAAGAGTTCGTTGATAAAATATCCTTGAATATTTAAAGCGCGGTAGAAAACACAGCAGACACGGACGACGTGTCCGTTTCGTCAACACTCACAAAAACGAAATTTTTCTGTCTCTTTGTTGTCGATTACACAGAACGTGGCGCTCGGTTTGTTCAATTACATAGAACGTGGCGCTCGATTTAGGCTCATCGCAGTGGCTAAAACTTCGATGTCGGCGGCGGCGAAAACTTACGTTGCGGACATCGAGTGAAGGAACACGGGCTGTGCCAACCTCATTTCACAACCCCCCCCCCTTTTTTTTTCTCTCTCTCTCTCTCTCTCTTTTTGTCGCAGCCGAGGTAAAAAGTTTCTTGAGTACGAAGAACCTTGGGGGTAGTTTTTAGAAAGTCAGAGCAGTTATTCTGCCAGGGTTGCACATATATTTACTAACAGCGCAACATATCCGTCAACTGTGCTTGAGGTCAATGCTATCTGAAACCAATTTAAACTCTTAGCAACACCTGAACAATATTGTCCAACGCAGTTTCATTTAAAAAAAAAATAAAAAATAATAAAAAAAAATCATTTTTTAATAACAGGAAAACAGTTTGTTCCTAACCCTCGAATCGGATTTATGAAAATCGAGGGAAAACCGATAGAACCCTGATTTAAACCTGTCCTTAAATTAAAAAGAAACAAACTAGAAACAAGCTTCACGGGAATAAAATCTTCGTCTACAGCAACAAGGCATAAAGTTGGACTAGTTGGTACATCATGACAACTTGAAAACAGCGCAAAATACACGAAGGACAAGAACGAGAACTGACAAACACAACGCTGACTGGCGACTGAAGTTTATTTCTGCAGGGAACAGAAAGAAAAACATAAAAGCAATATATATAAAAGATAATCAACCCTCTTGAGGCACACCAGCAAACATTTAAAAAAAAATTGACGAAAGTTCTTGAGCAGTAGGCCATGATCTCACCAGTAGCAAGGGAGCACTCGGACCTTGGTAATTTGGAACACCATGATGGTAGTAGGGCACCGATTGGTAACAAGTTCGTAAAAACATTAAGAAAAGAAAAAAAAAGTAGTGTGCTGGGGAAGGAACGTTCCTTAAAGGCGAACTTTTTCCATTTCCTTCGGAATATTTGCTAACGCTTTGAACGTTTCCCAGAATGAATATATTGGGCATTTAGCATTTTTTCTGTCCGGCACTTTTTTGTCTTTCGTCGTGATCTAGTTATGGTTACGAATTCCCACCGACCATTAGACCAACAAACCATCAGATCGTCAAATGTCCGAAAATACGACAGGACATCAGAAAAAACAAAAACAACCTCAGACTGTTTATTTTCAGCATGGTTGCGCTACTCCCGTGGTTCCAGTAGTGTCCATGTAAATACGCAGACGTGGATTTGCCATCATAACCTTATTGGAAGGCATCGGAATCACCAGGCCTGGCGAACAGTACGTCGAGTCATGCGAGCGCGCAGTGGGCGGAAGTGGGCGATCACGTGACTAACCGCGAAAGCCAACACGCTGAGGACAATTCCGACCGCCCAGATGACGAAGCAGGGCTCAAGGTCACTCAGTTTCAGCGCTGCGTTTCCGGTGTCCGAGGGACGTCCGTACTTGAACTCCCGCCTAACCTTACTCTTGAACTCCACCATTGCTTCCGCTCGTTCAAGCAGACCGGCCTCAAAAGCACGGCCGAGGAGTTTGTTCATGGACCTGTAGTATGCCGAATTTGATTTTATCTGAGGTCCCGTGATTATGGGTGACAGAAGCGTGTTCGTCCGAACGAAGCCGACGCGAAAGAGCTCGTCTTTGAGGCTCGCCGCCTCGTCAGAGCTAGGCCTGAACACGAACACGGCGTCCGTGCCACTTCCCACGCGCAGCTTTCCCGATCCATCCCAGCAATCAAAATTCGGTTTCTTGGCCCACCGAGGATTAACCCGCACGTGCTCTGCTTCTGGAAAGTTTACTAGGCAAGCAGCTGAGCCCAAAGCCTTAACGCCCTTCAAGGACGCGTACTGGGGAAGCTCTCCGCTCAGCGGTACGTTACAGAACAGCGAGGTGATGACTCCTTTGTATCCTGTGGCCAGTACTGTCACCATCAGACACCATACACCGGTAAGAATCCTCAACGAGTGAACATTTTCAGCGTCCGGAGGTAAGGGGTACGCCTGCTGAACCAGGGACGCCGCGAGAGGGGCAGCGACAGCATAGAAATCGTGCACAATATGATGAACTCTGTGGGCAAATAAACTGATCAGCAAGAAAAGAATGAAGCAAGCAAAGAGAGCCACCCAGGCAAAGGTGCCGAATGGCAAGAAGAGGACAGCTTCTTTTGGTAAAGGCTCCAGCGCTTTAACAAACGTTGCGAATCCCGCTCTGTCGAAATGAAACAGCGTCGATATTGTTGGAAAGAAGAGATCCTGCCTAAAAACAAAGGGATAATAAACGAGCGTTCCTGAATCAACCATGCTTTTACCGAAGTAATACTTCAGGGCTTCGATAGTACTCACTTGGAAAATTTTGAGGGAGCAGTTTTCGTGAAGCAAACTTTCGGTTAGCATGCTAAACGATGGACTTCGGCAAATCAACGGCTCCAAACACGCGATGGTGATTTCGCGTCCTCGAATAGGCATGTCTCTCATTAGTCCAACGGGGAAGTCACGTGGGGCATCTGGCGTGCAGTTTAGGCACCTAACGTCGTAACTTCCTGCCATCAGTATCTGCTCATCGCGCACTACAATGTGAAAATCCCCCCCGTTGCGAATCTTTTCAAAGTCGTCCTTCCCTGCAACAAGAGATGGAAAGATGCTAAGATTAAATTGGTTCAGGTTGCAAGTTACTGTACTCAGAGTCGACCAATACGGATGCGGAAGCGATGGATTCGCTGTTCTACAAAATAAGTGCAGCGCCACGTGTCGACTTTCCATGGTGCTACAGTTATAATGGCAGTAGCCAGAAATTTTGCTACGGATTTTTTGTGAAGTCGGTAGCTCCTTTAGGAGCTGTGTCAGCACACGGATTTCTTCTACTCCAAACTCTGGCGGTAATATGATGTCCAGGCACGACGAGCTGGCCGTATGGAGAAGAAGCTCCCGAAAGCCACGAGAATCCACGATGTTTTTCCAGAACGGATATCCTTCAAGCACGGTGGTCGGCGTCGTGGTGACTTTGGCCTGGAGCAGGAGAAATGCGGATAGAATTATCCAAGTAGAACGCATAACGCGGTAAGATCGACAGATGTTCAGGTTCAATAGTTCTTTCAGTGGCTGGATAGTCCGCTTTACTCAAATGTCAGTTTTGGTGACCTGTCTCTTCCGAGATGAAACTCGCAGTGACACGAACCGGGCTCCTGTGAACAGTGTGACGCGTTGCCCCCGCACTGCCTATGAAACGTAGTGTGTTTCTTCAGGATACCTTAGTTACCGTAATGTCAGACGTGCCGTGCACTGTTCTATTAACACTTTCATTCCGCGTGGCACAAACACTATTAATGCATTGTGTGAGTTACTTTACCAATAAAGGCAAGATGGGCTTACTTAGAGTTCGCTTCACTTGTTTCGATGAAGAAATAATGTTTTGAACACCTTCCTGATGACATCTAAACGTACGGCATTTAAAATGAGCCAAAGTAAAGTGGAGAGAAAAGTGATTTGTGCACGGACACTTAAAGCGAAACAAACCACAGATGAGTTGTGGTAGAGAGACAGGTTACGCCCATGCCACACGGCGAAATGTAAGACGTTTCGATCGAATGACATTAAATTAAGTGGCCTGTGAATCAGCTCACGATCTAGACTACGAGTGTCATGCGTGCTCCACGCTGCACCAGGAATGGCGCGTGATGATTGGCTGATCAGATAAGAGAGAGCTCGCCTAAAATTCTTTTATGTGCTAAAAAATGGTGTTTTAAATCTTAATACTGACCCTTACGTAGTTGCTCGGTAAAGTAGGCCCCTCAGAGGCAACCGCTTAAACCAATACCAACTAGATACGGCAAATATTGATACTCCCCATATAAATACTCCCTTTTTCCAAGAACTACGTGAGACTGGAACAACCTACCTCTAGAATTAACAGCAGCGAATACTCTAATTTTTCTTGAAAAAGGCCTATTGAACCTTTTCGATAAAAACTAATCTGTCACTAGTGTTTCATATTCACGTAAAATCATTGGATTTCTTTTTTCTCTGTGTGGTGAAGGATATAGTGTGAATCCCAGTTTTGTGACTTTCTGTAGATTTTTCAATTCGGTGTCGAGCGTTGTGTATTTCTATAAATGCATCGAACAGCTCTCCCACTTTTTGTTTTTTCGTGTGTAGGGACATTTTTCGTGTATTCACTTATGTTTTTACGCGTATTTTTCAACTGTAGTTGCCACAGTGTCCGTGTTTTGTTTATTTTATTAAATGTATTATTATGCGTTGTACACTCGTGTATTTATTTATACATCCTGCTAGCCTTAACAGGCTAGCATGATGTATAAATAAAAATGAAAGATGTTCACAACTCCCTGTAATGCCGATTAGAGCGCAGCTCTTGAGGAAGAGGAGGGGGGAGGGTACGGAGGGGAGAGTATGCCCCTCCTCATTTGTGCCCTCTCCTCCTCCTCCTGTCTAGAGGTATTTCGATTTTGCGATATACCGTACATTTCACGTCCTCGAATAGGCATGTGTCTCGTTAGTCCAACGGAGAAGTCACGTGGGGCATCTGGCGTGCAGTTTAGGCACCTGACGTCGTAACTTCCTGCCATCAGTATCTGCTCATCGCGCACAACAATGTGAAAATCTCTTCCGTTGCGAAGCTTTTCAAAGTCGCCATTCCCTTCAACAGCGGACTGCAGCAGGCCAAGATTAAACTCCTTCAGGCTGCTGGTTACTGTACTCAGAGTCGCCCAATACGGATGCGGAGTCAAATCAACGTACCACGGATTCGCTGTTCTACAAAATAAGCGCAGTTCAACGTGTCGACTTTCCGTGGTGCTACAGTTATAAGGGCAGTAGCCAGCAATTTTGCTGTGGATTTTTTGTGAAGTTGGTAGCACTTTTAGGAGCTTGGTCAGCAAACGAATTTCTTCCACTCCAAACTCTGGTGGCAATAAAATGTCCAGGCACGACAAGGTGGCCGCATCGAGAAGGAGGTCCCGAAAGCCACGGCAATCCACGATATATTTCCAGAACCGACATTCTTCATGCACGGTGGTCGGCGCTGTGGCCTGGAGTAGAGCACTATATAGCTCCTACGGAGCAGAGTAGCGCAATCCTTTGAACCCCGTGTTTTGCCGACAACATGGCCGACAGAGCGGCTCGGCGCGAGTCACGTGGTACTCAGGGTTCCAGGAGGCGGCCTGCCCTATGGGAGAATACATGGAGATCGACACAACACGGCTGATTAAAAAATGAACGGCGAGTTCACACTTTTCAAAACTAGTCTGTCGTGAAGTTAGTAAAGCACTAAACAATTTATCAAAGTTTTAATAATATCGGATGCATGTGCAAATTTTGAGAAGGCAATTTCCAAGGCAATGGCGTTTGAAGCAGACGATTTTTGCTCGCAGCGGAGATGGGCCTTTCGGGTTGGCCAGAGCGGGTCACGTGAATGGTGTGACGTCGCCGTGTCGTCTGCTGCATGATGCCGCTCAGGCAATTTTTTAAAAAAAAGTCACGTCCTTGCGGGGCACAAAACTTAGCGCAAATTATTCTAAAATGTTCCATTATTATGTCAAAAACAATTGCCATTCCGTACAACCCCACAATACTGAAGAAACGACGATTTTCTCACGTTCTCCATGCATTTCTGACCACAGTTGGAACCTCCGGGCGTTCGCCGCTAGTCGCCGAGAGGCGGCGTTCTAGATTGCGCTACTCTGCTCCGAAGGAGCTATATAGTGCTCTAGCCTGGAGCACCTGGAGCAGAAGTACTGTGACCAGGGTTGCCAAAGTGGAATGCATAACACGCTAGGGTCAACTGGTGCACGGATGAAAAACAAACGACAGTTCGTTCAACGGCTGGACAGTTTGGTTGACTCAAAAGCCGGTTATGGTGACCCTTCTGCTCTGAGGTGAAACTGAAGCTCGCATTCAAAATGAACCAGGCTCCTGTGAAAAGTATAGCGCGCTGCCACCTATAAAGCTTATAAAGCCCCGTGTTTTTTTTTTTTGTTTTTTTGTGTGTTTTTTGTTTTTTGTTTTTTTTTTTTTAATTTCAGACCATGCCGTGCCTTGCTCCATTAACACTTTTTTTTTTTTGATCCGCGTGGCACAAACACCATTAATGCATTGTGCGAGTTATTTACCGACTGAAGCAAGATGGCCCTGTCTAGTGTTTGATTCGCCCTGGTTGAGGCGGGAATAAAATACTCAACGAGGTAGAGGGGCTTAGAGTGATAAACCGGAAGTTCGGAAGTGGCACCCCCCCGGTTGCCGCCATATTTTACGCAAATGGGCGCGTTAAGTTAACGCGCTCGAGCGCGCTCCAGCGGTCAGAGTGCGCTCGAGCTAAACTAAACGACATCGTCTCACTTCCGGTGCACGGTGGCGGAGCGCGCTCCGCGAGCTCCGTCGTCGGAGATGGTGCGCGAGAGCTCGAACAGGTTGGTTTCCGGTGTAATGACGACGTTTCCGCTCTCGCGGCCAGTCTCGCGGTTACTCGAGGAGGGTTCACGCGGTGGTCTCGCACGAGACGGAAGAAACATCGAAACCCCAAGCGTTTTGGAAATACGCGGCCGGGCCGCCGGGCCACTCTGGACCAGAGGCGTCGGGTGTGCGCAATCCTTGGCCAGTGAGTTCGCTTCCGAGCGCTCCGAGGATGCCATCGCGCTCGCCTCGCCAAACCTCGCGGACCGCGACCGCACCAACTGAACCCCGCGGCCCAAAGGCTCCGGCCTAGCCAGGAACGGCACCGAGGTAGGCCCGGTCGTGGGTAGGAGCTGCTCGTTCTGCGCTGCCATGCAGTGCTCGGAGCTCTCGGCGTCGTTCGTGCTTGCGCCGAAGCCTTTAGGGACTCCCTCGGACGCGCAAGTCGCGCCTGCTTGGATGCGTGGATACTTCGACGGCGATCGCTTGGCAGCTCGTGCAATCGTTCCGTCATCGTGGAAAATAAAAAAAAGCATGGTGCTGGTGTAGAAAGGTATGCCTACATCCTTCAAATGCTTGTCGAAGTTTTTCATGTACCTTACCGCAAGTTCACGATCAGGCGAGCCAATGAATTCGGCCATTCAGCCGTCATTCTTTAAGGCTTTTGGTAATTCAGGGGGCGTTCGGCGTACCTTTAATCGCCGCACTAACAGCGTGCAGCACGAATACAAGCTCTTGCTATTGCCGCCCTCTCTGCGCACTTATTCCATCGACCTCGTCGTCGAAGAAACACTTCTTCGACGTTTCGATATACCGCAGTTTCGAGAGAGAGAAGTGTTGAAAGGAAAGGAAGCCTGG